GAAGGAAAAAGGAAGAGGGGCCGACCAAGGGCAAGATGGATGGATGGGATCCTTGAAGTGACTGGCTTGACCTTGAAGGAGCTGGGGGTGGTGGCAACCGACAGGGAGCTCTGGTGTGGACTGGTCCATGAAGTCACGAAGAGTCAGAAACGACTGAACGACTGAAGAACAAAAGCATCATATAACTATATCTAAAGGCTCAATGGGGGGGGGGGGGGGTTCAAATGTTGTATATGACCTTCTGCATTAAGATGACCAAACAAAGCAGAACATGGCAGTATACCAAATGCAAATCAAATTTATTTGAAACCTATACTGTTGGCACAGAAATTCTAAATATTTCATGAAAGCTTATGTGAGTATATACCCACTTGATGTGACAGATTCTTGCATCTCGCTGAGTTGGTGAAGGACAATGGGACAATTTTTTGTGCACATATTCAAGTGGCAAAATCATCTATTGCTGTTACTATTCTTTGATAAAATGATTCTTCATTGTATTTTTGCTTGCTTGTCTGGTTGCTTGATTTCCCCCCCCCCCCCCCCAACTCCTCATTCTCGCCAGGAGAGGTGAAAGGCCATGTAGATTTTGAGAGCTCAACACCTGTCAAAACTAACATCTGTGTGTATGGAATTAGGTTAGCGAAGCTAGAAGGTCACTGCAGACTATTTAAACACCAGGGATTAGCCATTTCACCTCTAAGTCAGCAATTGAACGGTTCTGAGTAAACTTAAAAAACATCTAGATTTTTGACTAAGCAGCACTGACTGAATTTTGAGTCATACTGCATAAAGGACTGGGTTGCTTGCTGTGTATTCTTTGTGTTAAGAACATATTTTTTCAAACTTATTATTGTGAGATAAACTGTGCGTGTGTACTTTCAAATCACCAGTCAATTTGAGGCAACCCTGTGAATTTTCTAGGGTTTTCTTAAACTCAGAGCTGGTTTTGTTATTGGCCTTTTCTGAAATATAGCCTACAGTGCATGGTATTATTTATAGTCTCACATCCAAATACTAAATGAAAAGATAGCTGAGGCCTATTTAAATTCAGCTCCCATTTTTATTCTCCTGTCACCTTTTGACTTCATGCATTTGGAAGGATGAGAGCCATAGTACCCCCAAGTTCTATCCCAGAGTTAGCACCGATGCTCAATGCATCAAAAATCTTTGAGAGGTCCAGTAGAATCAAAAGGGACACATCCCCCCTGTCCAGCTCTCTGCATATATATCACCCACCAAAATAACTACAACTGTATTTATCTTTCGATATTGATTCATCTTGAAGACAGATTAAAATGGATTTGGACAAACCATCTCATCCAGGTGCCCCTGCAGCTGAGAAGCCACAGCATGCTTCAACACCTCGTCGAAGAGTGTAATGTGGAAGCCTGACCAATAATTGTCCAATATTGTGACAGTATCAGCCAGTGCTCCCCTCAACAGCTTTTATGAGCCAAGAAAGGCAAGCAAGTCAAGCACACACGTTACCTCTGATTTCTCCAGGTATCCTGTCTAAATCCCCAGACCGTGCAAAGGGAAAGGACATGCAAATGGCAAGTTGCATCAACTGTAGTATCCAAATCAGAACATATCCAAATAATTTTGTCTAATAACAGTTGTGCAAACTGTTCATAGTAGGCTATATTGGATTGTGTTCATTTTTTGTTATGCCCCAGAAAGTAATGGGCCCTAGACTACATGGCAAAGCTCTGTCAGACAACACAGTACAGAACTGTGGTGGAAGATAACGCCTACCATATAATAGGCTCTGGTCTATGTTTAATTGGATTTTTTCCACGTTTACCATGACTTTCAGTCTAGTAACCATTTATAGTCATCTTCTGCTGTCTCAAAAGTGTTCCAGGAGTGAGCAAAAAGCCCTGATTGAGGCAAAACATTTCCTATTGGCTAAAGGAGCAGTGAGAAAAGCAGAGATGCAGTGGGTTTTCCAATGGGCTTACTCTTACCTTGGATTATTCAAGTTTATCACCCCGTTCCTCAGAGTGCCAGAGGAAGGGAGCAGCTACTGTAAATAGAACTTTATTTTTAAACAGAAATAATTTAATTACCATGCTGCCTCCCCATTACATGTTCCTCACTTGATGAGAATGGGTAGGTTTAGAGAATATGGACCTAGCTACCTCATCTTGACCAAGTCAATGGCAGAACATGGCAATTCCAGTTATTTACCAGAGCACAATTCACTCTCCACAGCAAAGCATCCATCAGTACTGCCCTTCTCACTTTGCAAAAAACACCCTGAAATAGGTTTTGGCTGGCCTTTCCCTGCCTTTCCCAGGGTAATGGGTCCCAGAAGTAATCTTTCTTGCTCCTAAAGTCATCTACTGAACATATCAGACAACAAAACATCCATGTATGTGCAGAATCTCTATTTGCTTTGATAGATTAGACTTATTAACAGGTCTATTCATGCATGGCAAAAGTAGTTGAGTAGAACCTTAAGAAAACTTTCCATTGCATGAAACATTCACCTTTTTATATACTTTTCTTATGCAGACATATGGTTTTTAATATACTTTTCACAACAGGCTTTATTTCTGAAGTGCTCCCCCTTTATCTATTATCTATTTATCAGGACTTCAGTTATGCCATTGCATTTATACTTATGCATTGTTGTCTGCATGTGGCACTTGGAGTGCTTCTGTGAGCTGCCCCAAATCCCTTTGGGGAGATGGTGGCAGGGTACAAATAAAGATGGTGGTGATATTCAGTGGATAAAGTAGGTACATCCACACATTTACACATTACATTTCTTCTAACACATCCTTGAATACTGGACCCAATACAGCCAAATGCCACTGATTACAATGGAGGAATGAGTTATTGTCAGTCAGTGAGTTATCCTGTCATTTCATTTTGAAGGTTTTTATATCAGGGATAGGGTGTATAGTTACTGTATATAATTGACCATTGTAGATCATGGTCCCATTACATTACACACATGTTATTTTGTAATCAAGGTGTGGGATCTCTGAGCTTGAATGCAAAGATCAGGTGGACAATCATTATTTTTCAACCCTTTGAATGTTAATGTATTATACTGTATTTTAATCAGTGGATCAGCAGATGCAAGACTGCTATAAAAGGAGTTGCTTACGGAATATTATGCCAAGAATCCATTTCCATTTTAACTGATTTGGCACTTGTTTGATACCTGCAGCACAATACGCACAAACACAGTGATTTTCATACAAATGTTTTATTAAAAATACATCCCTGCATGCCCCCCTTAATGGAATCATATCAAAAATACAAAGAAAAATATGAAACCCCAAAGAAACAGTGTTTTGTTTGTCATAATACATCAAGGACCCCTGACAGCCTCATTAAAAATATTTGTAAGTGGTTAAGGCCTGCAATCCTATGGACTCTTAACAGGGCACAAACCACACTTAAATATGTAATGTTTATTGCTGGATTAGCATGGATAGGGCTGTATTGCAAGACTGCTGAATGTCTGTCTCATCTAGACCAGGAGTAGGTAAACTGTAGGCCTCAGAGGAATTGCAATGTTTAGTCTTCTGACTAGTATATTCCATCCACAATGGGTAGGGAAAACAGAGACAGAGAGAATTAAAAAGAAATAGATTGGGTTTCTTCATCCTCTTTTCTCTCTGGCTCTGCCCATTAATAGTCCTTTTACTCAACACCAGAAAACTCCAGGGGAGACTACTGAACACAGCAGAAAACATTCTTCTTTTATGCTTTGCAGTACTACATTCGGAATATAAAAGGGGTACATGTATTAAATTTAGGCAGTTAAAAACTCATGCTTCATTTACACTACTACAGTGGAAAAAGAAAATACACAAAGAAATGTAAAACAAACAGCCAGCTTTAGAGGATTTCCCCCCAGTTGCACATCATTATTGACACCCTCCCTATCAACTCAAAACCGCCCTGGATTTTAGGTACATTGACTTTGTTCTAATGTTGTTAAACAGACACCCTGTTTTGTCTTCCAACTCACATATATGACAGACAACTCACATACAACTCACATACATGACAGACAGACAGACAGAACATTTTATGAGAGAACTACATCAGGAGAAAAATTGCCTCCAGAACATGGCCATATAGCCCGGAAAAACCTACAACAACCCAGTGATCCCGGCCATGAAAGCCTTCGACAATACATTATCCCAACAAGGTTTACTACCTGCACCTGTCCAGCTGTGAGCAGAGTTTTATAACTTTCATTTTTAAAAAAACATAAAAAAAACATTATGAGTTCTGAAACAGATCCAAATAGTAATTCAGATATTTTTTCTTCCTCCTCATATCTTTACATATTAAGAGGGAAGCTGCAGGACAGTTGAAAGATGGGCAAAGATAGACTCGTGTGTGTGAGAGAGAGAGAATGAGAAAGAGACAATGAATAACTTCTTGGATGTCTGCCTTTTCCCACACTTTCCCCCTTTAATCTCATTTTACACTGAACCCATCAGATTATACATACATACTTCAGAAGGAAGCAGCTGATATCTTGTGTTTCAATCCAAATGGTATTAAAATACTTATTAAGGGCTGGAACATGCCTCCTATTTTCAGTTAAGCAAGGCAGTATAACTGACACCAGTTAATGAATATTATTTCTATATTTTTATTCATATTTTGCACATGCATTGCACTATGATGGCAAAACAATAAAAATATAACTTTTTCCAAGGGAGGTACATTAAGTTATCATTCTGTTCTGTTTCAATGGCAGAAAGTATTTAACCAGGGATATTTCCACTGACTCATGTGGAATTTTAAATAATGTGCTCTTTTTGTACAAAGCCTAAGACAAGTAGAAAATCTTCTGAAGGTTAGAACTGTATAAGCACAGCCTAAAGTCACTGTGCCATGAAAGAAAACTTTAGGTTTGTCTAGAAATTTGACTAACAAAGTACCAAAGGTGTGAAGTTGATGTTTTTCTATTTCCCTTTTTTATTCTTATACTTTTCTCTCATAAGGCCTGCCTTTCCCCCTCACACTTCAGTTCCTTCTCTTGTATACAGACTATTATTTGCAGCAAGGCTGTTGTAGAAACTGGTGTTGAATTGATTGAGAACCGAACTGCTGTAGCCGAGGTGACTAGAGGGCATGGAATTGGACCATTCTCCATTGCCATGAGCAGGGATGTTGGAAAGAGGAGAGTATGAGTTGAATCCTACCATATTCTGTCCCAATTTGTCACCAGTGTCAGTGTTAAGTCCTAGAGGCACAGAGCGGCTCACTGAATTGGACCCATTCACATAAGCCGTCATACTGGACAGAAAGTTGTTGAGGCAAGGAGCGGCGGAAGAGGGTGGTGGAGATCTCTTTTCAGGAGAGGTCTCAGTGCCAGACGAGGAGTTTTCTAACATGTTTTGATGTTCTGCTGCTTTGGGGCTTCCACTGAGGGCACTGTCCTCCGACTTGTCAGAAGCAAGAGATGCTGTGCTGGCACTGCAGTCAGACTTCTTCTTCCTCTTCCGCCTAAAGTTTCCATTGTCAAACATCTTCTCACAGTTTGGATCTAGAGTCCAGTAATTGCCTTTCCCTGTTAGAACAAGAGCAACAGAACACAAATATAATCTCAGCCAACAAAGAGCTGGTTCTCAGGGCATTTTTTGGCAAGGAGTCAGAAAAAGCAATACTGTAGGTGACACCCTCTTCTCTTTCTTTTTTTAAAGAGATCAAATGAAAAGACAGACTCCTACTGACTGTTCTTATTCAAATATGCCCGCATCCTGACAGCCAAGCCCTGCCCAGGGTGCCCTTAGGTAAAACTGATCTTCCCTAGAGTTTTTGCTTATCAGACATAAGAGCCCGCTCCACCCCATGGCATTTTTGACAGACCCCCTAATTAGCATCAGAAAAATTCACTTGAGACAAGACAGTATTTGACCTCAGGCAAGACAACCGGGTGGATGCCAGTAAGTATTCTCCTTGTCATTCAATAAGAAATTAAAAGAAGCTACAGTTAGGTAAAATAACCCTGAAAAGCGAAGTTATTGCGGAATTGGACAACATTAAACAAAGCTAGGCAATCCAAGTAACTAGAGAAAGAACTAAGGCTAGATCACCCCAAGATTATAGTGAAAACTGATAGAGTTTATACTGCCCTGTGTATTTAAAATACAAGGTAAAGCTTTACAAGGCTTAGTTCACCTATCAGTGCCTATGAGCAAAGTACTATTAAAAGTGGACTGAACAAGGAATTTCCTAATTGCGAGCATTCTCAGTGGCTTCCAGGAAAGGCATTTTAACCATTGGAAGGTAAAGAGATTTGTTGTGAGCACAAATTGATATTGATGTTTTGTTTAGGGTTTTTGGGGGAAAAAAACTTTAAAAGAACAGGTTAGTTTATTTTGTTGCAGGTGTATACTCATTGCAATTTTAATAACTGCACAAACAGCTATAGTTTTAGGATATTCCTAACTACTAAGGGATGTGGATTTTGCCCACATCTAGTAAAGGATCTAGTAAAGGATGAGAGAAGCATTCTTAATTGTATTCTTACAATGAAGGCTACACAGAAAAGAAAATGGGCTCTGTCATTGCTAGCAGTGAAACTGCATTATACTCTGGTGCAGAAATAGATACCTTAACTTTCATGATAGTCCCTGGCTCTCTTGTGATAGGAAGAGGAGCAAGGAAGCCTTCTTACCTGGGTCATCTTCATCCCGAGGCACCTTCTTGAAACAATCATTGAGAGACAGATTGTGGCGTATGGAATTCTGCCACCCAGCTTTGCTTTTGTTGTAGAAGGGAAAGTTGTCAGCAACATACTGGTAGATTTGGCTGAGTGTCAGCCTCTTGTCTGGAGCTCCGTGGATGGCCATGGCAATGAGTGCTGAATATGAGTAAGGTGGCCTCACCAGCTTCATCAGCTCTTCTTGAGATGGCATCTGGAGCCAGCCCATTTCATTCCCAGTCAAGCCGTGCATGTTGGGCAAGAGCTGCCTTTGCATTCCATAGGATGGTGGGATGTACGGACTGCCATTGAAGCCTGGGAGGTAAGATGGAGCATTGATGGAGGGTCCATTTAAACACAAGTAAGGGTTGGGTGTAGCATTGTAGTCCCCTGTCTCAAAGTTTGTAGGCCTCTGTGGGCTAGGAACATTCTGGGGGTGAAAAAAGTTCTCATAGTAGATGTTCATTTCAGGAGGTTCCTGGCCGATGTTTGGAAATTGTGGGCTGCAGCGTGGTGGTGAGTGTATTTGTGGATCAAATGAGCTCATAATCTAGCTCTGGCAGTTGACCAAGTTACAGCACACCTGTGTTACTCCTTTCCCCAAGACAGGTGCATCACCTGAGCTAGCTAGCTCTAGTACTTATACACCTGTCCATGTTTAGGTTTACTTTTCAGGCTCAGCCTAGTGGATCCTGATAGGCTGGAGATCTGGTGATATCCCCTTTTGGAATGCTGACAGCCCACACTAGTAATAGATGTCACATTAACCAAATTCAAAAGTTACAACTGTTTATCTTTTTAAATGAATGGAGGAATTTTCCACTGCTCTGACTGACAGTAAGAAAGCTGAAAATCACTGGCACATAAAGTTGATTGCAGTTAGATTTTTTTCTCAACTTCAGTTAGACACAATAGCAAATGTAAAGTGAAATACAATTGATATACTGTGTATAGTTAATTATATATGTTAAATAATATACTATTTCATGGGTCTTAATACTGTTTACATTGTGGAATACCAAGAGGATTTATTATTCATAAACTTTTGAAAAAATCCTTCTAAGAATATTTTCAGTGTGACAATTGCTTTTATTAAGGCGGTCAGAAAAGTTACTTTCTTGGACTACATTCTCCAGCCACCCCACAAAAGAAAAGAATACTGCTTTTTCAAGTAACTCTTTTGAACTCTGGAAATGAGCTGCTGCAGTGAGAAACAATTCCTTTGGAACAACATGCTTGAACAATATTTGGAAACTGCATTACCAGTAAAACAGCCCTTTGAAAGGTTACTCAGAGGTAACTCTCAGAATGTTGAAGAGGGCTAATTGGGTTGTAAATCACTCCTTTAATTGTTAATTCTCATGTACTCCTGCCTCAGTCCCACCATCAAAGGGAAACAGTCATGAGGCAATGCCTCTGACATTTGGAGCAGTGGCCAAATCAAATTAGGTCCACTGCTCCAAATGTGGGGACAAAGAAATGATCGTTTAAATATAGTAAGCTCTTTGATGGTTTCAGCAACTGCATGACTTGCAACAAAAATTCCTCTGAGCCTTGATGTCTGCTTCCTATATAAAGATTTAAGACACCACAGGTTTCCAGCCAACAAAAAGATGGCACTTTTAGCCCATCTTTTATTTAGGAAGACTGAAGTTCTAGTGATACAATGTCAGTTCTACATGTGGTTGGTTACAAATGAGATGTGGAGTCCAATAATATTGGGAGGGCCACACATTACTCTCAAACAATCTTCTGCATGCTGAAAAAAAAAACCAGTATCTGTTGAATTTCCCTTTGTATGCCACCTTTGATCATCACCAAAATTGAGGACATTGTAACAAATAACAAAGATCTTTTTTGTTTTAGAGAGAAGTAAGCAAATGGAGCACATGTGTTTTGGCAGGCAGAGTTTGACTAGATTTGGAAACAGAATAAAATAATAATAATAATAATAATAATAATAATAATAATAATAATAATCCATTGTGCCACAAATACCATCTGCCTGCAACAAAGAACTGGTGGGATCACAAACCTGAAAAAGTTACAGAAAATGAACATGTCAAACTTCTCTGGGACTTCCGAATTCAGACAGGCGGTTTTGGAGCACAATATTCCTGACCTCACAATCATGTTAAAAAACAAAGTATGGATTGTTGATGTTGCAATCCCAGGTGACAGCAGGATTGAAGAGAAACAACTGGAAAAGTTGACATGATATGCAGATTTAAAGATCGAACTGCAAAGACTCTGGCATAAGCCAGTCAAGGTGGTCCCAGTGGTGATCGGCACACTGGGTGCAGTGCCTAAAGACCTTGGCCTGCACTTAAACACAATCAGCACTGACAAAATTACCATCTGCCAGCTGCAGAAGACCACCTTACTGGGATCTGCACGCATTATTCACCGATATATCACACAGTCCTAGACACTAGGGAAGTGTCCAACGTGCGATCCAATGCAACAGCCAGAAGAGTGATCCTGTTTGCTGTGGACTCATCTTGTTGTGTTTCAAATAATAATAATCCACTCTCATCTCTTAAAAATGATTCATTGTATTGCTAAAAGCAATACAATGTGTAATTAAAAATCTATAACATATAAACATTAAAATAGAATTCAACCTGACACTATTAAAAGTAAATAGTGAAAAACCATTTAAAGGCTATTAAAAATCATAAAACCTTTCTTCTTTAAAAGTCTGCCTCCAGGGAAAAGTCTGCCATTCAGACTTCCCTAGGAAGGGAGTTTTAAAGTCGAGGGGCAGCCACTGAGAAGGTCTTCTCTTGCGTTTCCATGAATGTGCTTGTAATGGAGGTTGGGCTAAGAATCTAAGGGCCAGTGCAGGCTCATATCAAGAGATACCATCAGCCAAATAGCCTGGACTAGAGATGTATAGTGCTTTATAGGTCATACTCAGCACTCTGAATTATTTTTTGCTGAATTAAAATCAATTTTAGATCTCTAATTCTAACTTATTTTGGGGTATCTGGCACAAACAAAATCACAATGAAGGCACTAAATCAAGTCTGATCTTGGAAGCTATGCAGTGCCTGGCCTGGTTAGCATTTGGAAGGGAGACCATCAAGAAATAATGAGTGCTTTAAGTTGTATGTCATAGCAATGCAATGACAAACTACTACTCAGTATTTCTTGCTTATGAAAATCCACTAAAGATGAGGAATGGGAGCGGGGGCAGCATAACATGTCTCAAGGCAAGAGAGGACTTGAAGACACAAACAAACACATGCAGCTGTGTATATTGTGCTTCCATATGTAAAATAAAGTAAAACGGGAAGTAACTTGGCTATTTATATGTAGCAGGCCCGTAGCCAGGATTTTGATTTGGGGGGGAGCTGAGTTTGATTCGAGGGGGGGGGGCGTTGAGTCTGAGTGAAAGAGGGTCTATTCTAGCAAACCTTTTGTATCATTACCCCAATACCCCCATGCATTTGGGATATATTGAGCATGGTGCTCAGATCATGATATGAATAAACATAACAATTTAAATAATGTACCAGTAAAGGCCTTCTCGCGGACCACCATGAGAATTTGGGGGGGGGGGGAGGCTGAAGCCCCCCAAGCCCCCCTCCCTGGCTACATGCCTGATATGTAGCAACTTCTTACATCAACAAGGGCATAATGAAGCTACATCCAATATAATGTAAAGAAATTTTATGTTCTGTTTTTAGGTGCCTTGTCCCATGTGTAAGCCTCTCCGAGTCTCTTAGGGGAGATGGTGGCGGGATACGTGAATAAAGCTGTTCTTTATCTTCTTATTATTCTTATTCTTATTATTAAGAAAGAAGTTACGATAATTAGTACTTTTATATATTACTGTTAGTATTCAATTTATTTTTTACTTATAAAACCTTATGGCAAACCTATCTTGAGGTTTTCTTGGCAAGACTTGTTCATGGGGCCTGCCTTTACAACTTCCCCAAGGTTAACCAGTGGATTTCCATGTCTGAGAGTTTGTTTGTTTGTTTGGTTTTTTTTTGGGGGGGGGGGGAACCTTCCTTTTCAGGCATGTAACTGCCTTTTGTGCAGAAAGCAGGATTTTGGAGTGGGGTGGCCAAGATCCTGCATTTCCGAGGTGCCAGAGAGCAGAGTGCTGAGACATGATATTCACAGAGCGCTTCCCTATAATGGAGTTCCTTGAGAAGCTAGAGAGTCCCATCGGGGACCTGAGACAACTGTTTGTCTCAGAAACACATCAGTCAGGAAGCTGACGGCTTTTTGAGGTCATGCCAAGTCATTCATGACCATAAATGTGAATGCCCAACAATTAGGAGTACCTGACTCTCTCTTGCTATATTGTAATGCTGAACTTGAATATGTATGTATGTATCTTCAGGTCACCTGTCAACATAAGACATCTCCAATAATTTCCTAGGGTTTTCTTAAGCAAGGAATGCTCAGGAGTGGTCTTCTTCTGAAATATAGCCTACAACACCTGGTTCCTGGATAGTCTCAATCTGAGGATACCAAGGGCCCTTCCACACAGCCCTATATCCCAGAATATCAAGATGGAAAATCCCATAATATCAGCTTTGAATTGGATCATCTGAGTCCACACTCAGTTAATGTGGGATTTTCTACCTTGATATTCTGGGATATAGGTCTCTGTGGAAGGGCCCCGAGAGGACTGTTTACTTTCTTCTACATTAAGAAGAAAACTACTCTAATTATTTCTCCTTACATACAAGTATGGGATAGTCAAGGATTTTCACTCCTACAATAAAGTTTTCTTTTAAAAATTTCTGAGATACTAGTTCTACAGTGCACCTGTGGTCACCTAAAGTGTCTTTTCTCGGTTCCTCCAAGAACAGGCAGGCTGTGATGTGTTATTTCCCCCCTTGAAGGCTGACCGGACATGAGAAGGTCAGAAAAGAGCTCTGTCATACTGCAGGAACAAATGAATTGGTACAGAGATGCTGTAGCACAGGATGAGATATGAAATTTCCTTTTGTGATAGTGAATTAAAGAGCAGTTGTGAAGTGCACTTCATAGGAAGTTCCAATAACATAAAAGATGGGATTTTGTGCAAAGTTTGGAAGAGTTATTTTTTTCAGCTACCACTCATGGAATTCCTCAGTTATTGTTGCCATCTAGAAGAATGCTAGACTAGCTGACTCCAGATCTAAGAGAATGAATTGCATGGCTGAAGTCCTCTGCACCCAAACCCCCTGTTTATGGGAAAACAATCTTCAGCTGTCCTCAAAGGTAACTAGAGAACTTACCTTCGAGTACAGATGAACAGTGTTTTTTTCTGCTTTACAGGCTGTCTTTGCACACAGGTCAAGTTTCAATCAGAAAAAAACTACATATGTATTCTAGGGCTTGGAGGAAATAATTATTTTTGTTTCTACCATATTTGCATTTTTAAAAGCCAACATTCCTTAATTCTAAATATGCAATTTGCAAATAACAGTAAATTCCTTAAAGCAAAAGGCAACAAATGAAATTATCCTGCATTTGCAGCTAGCACATTCAAATAAGCACAGCTGACTTAGCATAGACCATACCCTCTAACTGTCTAATTTG